TAAAGATTTATATACAATACTATAGCAAATTCTATATAATTTATATTTTAACAAAAATTAACAAAATAAACATAACAAAATTAAAGATAAGTTTGTTATCACAATATTAAAAGTAAATTTATAATGGATTATTTAAGAATTTAAATATATTTAAATAAATATAATAATTAAAAAAATAATATAAATATCAATTAAACATTATATATCAGTGTTCTTTTGTTTATAATAATTCATACAAAACATTATTATTATTATTTTTGTGACTATAATAACAATAACTATTATGAAATATATAAATAATTTACTCAAAAATAATAAATAATAATAATGAATTTAATAATATCATTTAATTTTTTTGTTCAAAAAATTATAAATTATTTAATATGCAAATATATTTTTATAATATTGAATTAAATATTTTATAAAAAATATATAGAAGTATATAGAACTATATAGAAGTATATAGTTTTACAAAAACAAAAGTATAGATACCATGTGAGTACTTTATTAAGCTTTATCAAGTTTCATTATCACTTTAGTATATTATATTATCGATTTAGTCGTGAATTTAGTCTAGAATTAGATTATAATACCAAGAAATTAAAAAATATAAATGTAAATTTATGTAATTATGTGCTTTTATATCAGAAATAAGAATGTATATTATAAAATAAAATTTACAGATGAGATACAAATTTAAGAGATTGTAAAATATAATTTAAATTAATTTAAAATAGAACACTTTTTATTTTTTTCCATTTTTTGGCAAAAAGAAGGTTGTACAAAAGATGTACACGTGACATGTAATTTTTTTCCATATTTTTTGCAATATTATTAATCTAATGCAGAAATAATAAAAAATAATAATAGAATAATATAAGGAAAATGATAAAACATAAAATCACATAAAGATTATCATTGACAAGAAATATAATAAATGAATGGTAAAACTTACATCTTATATCTCAACTTGTGTTCAATGTTCTGAAATATCAATCGAGTAAAAAATTAGATTGCTTTGTGTGCCCTCTATAGTTTACGACTTAAAATAAAGTGGTGAGTGCAGAAATTATATTTAATCACTAAAATTGGCAGAGTCAAGAATTTAGAGTCAATTAACATTTTAAAAATAAATTCTTTAGTATATTCTTTCATAAAATTCATTAAAATGCTTTATACATATTAAATTATATTGTATTAAGAATAATATAATTAATAAGATATTGGTGTTATGAATACATATATTTTGCAAATATAAATAAAATCAAAATGTGGAAAAAAGACAGAGATAGAGTAAAAATTACTAAATCAACGCCATCTCTAGAGTGTCGCAAATGAAATAAAATAGACAAAGAGAATATATCATAGAAAAAGGATAGAAATAGAAATAGAGTAAAAATTAACTACCAGTGCCATCTTTTAAATATCACAGATATCTCTTCAAAGACAAGAGAATAAAGTAGAATAAGAATTGAGTATCAACGCCATTTCTTAAGTATTTTTAGAAAAATTGCTGCATTTGAAAGATAGCGCTAATATTCAATTTTTATTCTATTTTATTTTACTTTTGAAAAAATTTATTTAAAAAATAGAACTGATAGTCAATTCAATAGTTTTTATCTTTAGTTTTCTTCTATATTATGTTATTTTATATTTTGTTAAAATAAAAGTTTATTTTTAATTCTTACTTAATAGAAGTATTCTTATAATTAAAATAAAATATATATAATAAAATGAAAAATTTGTAAAACATATATAAATATATATTTTTGTTATTGAAATTTAATTTCATTTTTAATCATTATATTATTATCTATTTTGTATATTGTTTGTGCTGCCATCATAAATGAAATTCAATCGATATTATCAAATATGATATTACCATCATATTAAGCATTCAACACATGTGAATGAATGTTAACATCCTGAAAGGGGCTATAAAAAGAAATGTTAATACGATTATTACAATATATATGTATAATATTGCAATAATTATGATTAATTTGGAGTAATTTATATATATAATAGCATGGTTTTTATAGCTTAGTTTATAGTTTAACTTTTTATGATGATATAATATTTCAAAAGATTGTTTTTAACATTTTAAGCGATGTTTGCTTTTTAAATTAATACTTTGAAATAATCTTATAATAATAATTATTATTATTAATATCGATATAATTAGGATTATCAAGGTTATTGAGCTTCTAATCGTCACAGTTGATATGATGGATTACATCGCAAGCGCGCAGACTCGAGGAGGGCGCGAACGTCTCGATCAGAAAGGCGAGACACGACGGGATAAAACGGAACGAAACGGAGTTGCTAAATATAATACGCGAAGGTACGCGATTCTCTTACGGCTGGAGACTGCAAGATGGTCTTCAACATTCAAAAGCACAAATATTGTCCTCGATAGTGATTTTATTGTTATTGTTGTTTTATTGGTAGGTTCTTTACGACGGAAATCACAACATAGAAAAGTGAATAGTTGTGACGAAACAAATAAATTAAGATATAATTGTTTTAAAGAAAATCTTTTGTTAGTTTTGTGATTTTTTTAGGGGTTAAGCTTTCTTGAGAACGGTTCTTATACCTATGTGTTTTAGGTTTTCTGCCGATGTCGTCTTTGTCACGTGATAATCAACCGAATTATAGGTAAGCTATTGTTTCGATTAAATTATAATTTTTAATTCAATATTAGTTGATGATTAATGTAAAATTAATCATTAACTTAATGATACATTTTAAATGATCTCATTATGGCAAATATCGTTATGATATAAAATATGTGTAGTAATATAATAATTTTTTTTCTTTTCTAAACTTTCTAAACTTAACTGTAATCATTTCTAAATGATAAATATAAATGATAATATTTCATTGAAATTTACATATTCATTTTTTCTTTTTGTTTTTTTAATTATCATATTATTTATGTAACAATATAACTACTATAAGAAGTTTTTTGAGATTTATTAAATTCTAATTAATATTAGAATTTATTTGTAATAATAATTTATTTACAAAACAAATGTAAATATATGTGTATATAAATGTTTATTTTACAATTAGTATATTCGTTTCAAATTGCTATCGAAAATTCTGTTATTTATTCTTTTTATTCAAAAACATAAATGTTTGAATTAATATATTGTTTGAATATATTATACAATTAATTGCATCTTGTTTTAATAGATTTTTTTCATATATTTTTATTTACTATATATTTATATACGCACAAAAGTGATAATTGAGACATGTGCACATATTTTTCCTCAATTTCTTCAATTCATCAAAAATTTCTAAATATTTGTTCTTACATTCTTAAACATATATATATTTCATAAAATTATTCAATTATAGTTAATTTGTGCATTTAATATCGAGTTTATATATATATATTCAATCGTATAATAATATAAGCATAACCATAAATTTTTTCTTGGTGATCTAACCTGATCTAATGCATCGTTGAGATGTGACGTAATAACGAATTGTCCATTCGGATAACGCGGGAACGAAACAATGAC